CCAAGCCGCTTCTAGTGACTTCTTAACGACGTCCCTATTTAAGCCCGATAAGTCCCTTGTGTCAGCCATCATAAGGCATTTGATGCGGTTAGAAACGCCAGCTATCAACTGATGGGTGGCAATCAACCTCGCTGTCACAGATTCCGATCTGCAGCTTCAACTGAGCCCAAAGTGGGGCAATGGAAGTGATTTAAAACAGATTTGTAATACAAAGTATGGAATTTGACACAGTCCTATGGAACACGAGGACGAAGTAGACGCCGAAGGTAGGCGTTAGTCTCAGCTTATTCTATGTATCCCTATCCGAGGTCCTCGTAGCCTTTGCAACGCACACTTTATTCGCACCGTGAACATTTATCCCAAAACATAGACAAGTCGGAGACGAAAGTTATCCCATCATGTTCCTCTGCCACCAATGTAGCGCCTCAAGACTTCCTCCTTGGTGGAGTAAGGCATAGCACTTGAGTCATTTTCATATTATTTGGCTAGAGGTGGCTTAACTCGGAGCCATCGGCATGACTCTGACGCCGGTCAACTTGCCCACGGTCAAATAAAGCGTTACAATCAAACAAACAATTATAATTTTTTAGCCAAAAGTCTCCATTTACGTAGTCTTTATAAGTTAATGTGTTGTTAGTTTAGATGTTCTCGATAAAAAACCTTTACAGAAACCATTCTAAGGTGACGTTTCACCTAATGGATGCATTATTTGTTTTCTCAGAGAGGAGTTGGATTGAGTATAAAAATCTCACAAATTCTGCAGTCCTTTAACACTCCATCCAACCTAACCGAGGTTACACAATGAAGCCACTTTAGGCAATCCACCCTCCATCTCATGCTCTCCTGTGCCTCTCATTCCTCTCTGTCTCTAGGCAGTGCATTTGGCAACAGAGGTGCCGCACAGACCGCCACCGACGTCTCTCCTCCAAGTGGGAGGAACTGCAACCAGGCGATGCCGTCTCAAGAGCTTGTTACACCTCAACCACTCAATTATTTGTGCACAGTCTGTGCCCTCAGATTGGTTACCGGTGAGGCTACTTAACTCCAACTTGTACCCACTTACGGGTAGACGTCATCACCGAACCTGGGGTTTGTTCAACACCCTTCCACTCTCTGATTTACCTTTTAGTCAGAATCGCATTTTTACATTTTTTTTTGTTCTTTGAGAAGTGCCTCCTTTTAAACACGTATTTTAATTGTTGGCTTTTGTAAGTCCATTAAACCATCGGCACAGACAAATCGGTGAAGTTGTCTGTGCGCCAAGTTCACACACCTTACGAGATACAGACCAGTAAATTGTTTATTAGTCATGTTTTTTCTCGCCTTAAATACAACATGGGAAAATTTTGTTCACATTTTTTACCCTTTTGTTGAGGTTATTGCTTTTATTGGCCAATTTATTTGCTGCACTTTTAAAACAAACACCCATAAGGGAGACGATCACTTTGATTGGTAGGGGGAGGCGAGGGGAGAGGAGGGCTACCACCTCTCCCCCCCACCCCCACCTCCTCACCCCCACTCCCACCCTCTATCGCCATAAATGTTATCCGCTTTTGTTAATTAAAGTCCTCTCATTTCATTATGCATGCATTTTTAGTGAGGAGAATGGGACTGCTTACCTTGGAGCGCTTGCCTCTGTGTTTGGTGCTCCTCATCTACTACTTCCGCTACTTCTTCGTCTTCCTCTATCCCCTTGCTTTGCTGCCTGTTGTCTTGATTAACACAAACAACGTGAGTTTAATCCCCATCACTCATTGTTGGGGAGGGAAGTTCGACTCCCCTACTCGACTAACTTTTTTGGCCTTGTTGTTGTGACCTAAAGATAACAAAAAGCGCATACATTCTGCTATGGATGAGTGGCTACTGGATAACCGGCGTTGTTCCCCTCTACGCCACGGCCTTGCTGCCAATGTTTGCGGGACCCCTCATGGGGCTGCAGACGTCGGGCACCCTCTCTCGCGAGTACTTGCCAGTAAGTCGTTTCCTCATTCATAGGATAATGATCCAGTCAACAACAGCCCCACTCTGCGATTACTTTGGGGCGGCTGAGGTGTAGCACCTCTCTGCTCGACGTGGTCCTTCAGGTGAACCGTAAATGATGAAATTTAGGGCACAACTAGTGGATGGTGGAGGGACCCGCTGGGGAGGGAAGTTCGCATTTCTCATCAATTTTTCAAACCAACCTGCCTTGCAGTACCATTGTCAGGGTAGGAGGAGAGACGACAAGCCCTTTACAACCCTTAATAGTGTGTTTTCCTTTGAGACTGTGTTTAAATATTAAAAGGACGACAATGTTGATGCACTCCTTTCAAACTCACAAAAAAGAACAAAAAAAACAAACTCCAGTCTCACTCATCTAAAGCCGCTGTCCCAGTGTTCACTTGTGTTTACTTTGCGAGGAGGGAAAAGAGACAAAAAGAATTGACTTTTTTATATGTAAAATGGCTGTTTTGTTGCATCGCATTAGACCTCGAATTTTCTCTTCATTGCGAGCATGTTTTTGGCTGGAGCGGCTGAACACTGCAATTTGCATCGTCGTGTTGTCATCTTCTGTCTCAAATGCATGGGTGGCGACCCTCGGTTGTAAGTCTGTGCCCTCAAATTCAACCACACACACAAGTAGGTCAAATGCACTGACCTTTGACCTTATTTTACGCACAAATTCCCATCAAGGATGTCCTAACTTGACACCTTCGTAGGCTTTGGATAGAATCACTCCACGCAGCTACTCAGTGTTTTCTAGGCTAATAAAAAGTCTGTCTCGAACTAAGGTTACTTGATCATGCTAGAGGTCCAAAGTTCATTCTTTTTTTTTTATTTTGCGACTAAACTAACTGTTTAAGTGGAAACTACTCCAGTAAAGAGGTTTGGATGGTGCTGGAGATAAATGATTTGCATTTCTTAAAGGATCCTCCTGGGTATAATGATTCCAACATGGTTTTTATCACTGTGGATGAGCAATAGTGCAACAACACTGTTGATGGTGACAATAACGGAGACGCTGTTGAATAGGATTGATGAGGTCACCAAGAGTAAGCAAACTCCTAACACCATACAATCCACCTTCCAAGGCAAATTCCACCGTTTGACTCATCTGTTTTAGGCATTGAAGGCTCTGTAGAGGAAGACGACTCCACTACCAAGTGAGCTTTGCAATCCACCCACATATTAATGCACAGACGGCATTTTTCTGCTTTATGGAAAGTCTAAACATTAGAGTAGCTGTAGGGAACTGCTTCCAGGTTTTAACATTTAAAAGGGTCGCAAAGTCTCAAAGCCATTTCCAGGATTTTTTTCTGTATTTTGTTGGCGGTGGCCTCCAGCAGTGTACAAAAAGAAGCCAGCTTACCGCATAACTGCAGAGTACATCCACCAAGCCGTATGGCTAGAACGGAATTATGGCGCCCAACATACTACTTAAATGCATCAAATCACATCTAATGTCTCGTCTTTACAGAAGAGAGTTCAAGGAAGACGGTAGCGAGAAGTTGTCGCCAAATCGTTCCAAATGGCAAAAGTTTGGCGTCGGTCTCAGTCTCAGTGTCTGCTACTCTGCCAGTTGTGGAGGCATGGGAACGCTAACCGGAACCCCAACAAATATTGTCGTTTATAACCTCCTTACCGAGTAGGCAATCATTTGTGTCAACTTCTTCTCCTTACCTTCACGCCTGTGGAGGCAACTAACGATTTGTTAAACTGATAAAGTCATCTCAAATACACTTCTTTCAAACATTACTCCAGAGAGGCAAGAGGTTGTGCAAGGAAAAGAATTCTAATTTATTTTTTTTAAATTAGCAACTTAGAGGCTTCCTTTGGTTTGTAGCGTCTATGGCAGTGAGACAGGTTTGAATTTCGGTTCGTGGATGGCGTACGCCTTTCCCAT